CAAAAATAAAGATATACACCGGCACTGTATTGAATATATATGTTCATACCTACAAGTATTTTTCATAATAAAAGTGTACTTTCCCAATTTAGATTGGGTGGGTGGGTCATGAAATAAATTTGGTAAGATTGCATGGGCTTTGAAATTTTTATCTACATCCTAAGATGTAGACTACGACATAGTCCCCATTTCCGCCACGAGCGTCTGTGACGCAGGCTACCTAAGATGGGTCACCAAACTTATTGGCAAAATTTGTGATTTACCTCCAGCCCACCCTAGCAGTTACTTTATGACCAGTCCCTTAATATAAAATATGTGGGACATATATTTGCACAAATTGTCAAATTTGGTATTTAAATATATAATATGTGGTATTTGACTACTTACCAGATGAGGATAAGATTCCATGTTGATAAATAACTTCGGAATAATGTCTCAAGTAGAATGGCGAAAAAAAAAAGACGGCCAATTCAAGATAAATTGATAAAAATATCAAGATATTTTTGAAAGAATATAAACACGATTTATACACGAGGCCTGACGAGGCTAAAGTATGCCCGTTCGCAGGTTAGATGCGGGAACGATGTAAACAATTGATGTAAACGAATCGCTGATTGGCTTAAATTGGCTTAAATTATATAAGCTCGTCGCTGAATGGCTATGTGTTAACATACTACGGTAACAGTAACATTAACGGCACGTTTGCGATAGCAATATATCTGCTTCGCAGATACAATGAGACAAAATTAAGAAAATTATCTGACAGCAGGAAAAATTAAATATTTAAAACATAATATATATATACATTCATATAGTACCAGTCAGAAATAGCGACAGAACTCTACATGAAAAATATCTCGCGGATTGAATCCCCACCGGCGAAACTCCCGACGACAAAAACCCCAAATTACTGAATACACACAAATATAAAATAATTAATACTTAGAAAAGTTTAGCACAATTCGTGTCCATGTTGCCGTTCTGTTTGCTTGCTTAACCAGCTTAAGCACGTGGAGGGCACCACTGAGGTCTATGAAATCAATACCCGACCTACTACTGGTGGTGCTGTTGTATAAAAGTAATGTCCATTAGAATATATCAGTATAATACTAACTGAATAAAAAGGGAAAAAAAGCTAATAGTGCAAATGGTGGCATCTACTTATTTACAATCATGCAGTGCTATTACGTCCAAATTGCTTGTATGTACTCATACATACTGTCATAGTTGGATACTATCAAAAATCCCAAAACTAAGTTAACTAACACACATAATAATCATATTCATCCTTTTCCTAAACACTTTCTGGTTTTTGTTGTTTTTCGTTGCCATCTTTGACAATGGCTGGTTCATCAACAGTCTTCATAAGGTAGCTACCAGCGCCAGG